AGTCCTTTGCAATCCTGACTCTGGTATATGCCATCTTTTCCAAATCCCATTTTAGTTTATCCTTTTTTAAAGTGACCTATTTGGAGAGCAATTGAAATATTAACTTTGCAACAAGAGGCCAAATTCAGTGAGGCCTGTATAAAGTAAAAAAAAAAAAAAAAAAAAAATCAGTCTGGGTTTTTGATATATGTAACAGTATCATTTGCAAATCTGTTTTTGTGCTATTCTCTTAATGTTTTTGTTTTCTTTGATTTCTTGTGGCTCAAGTTAAATGAACAAGACAAAAGAGGGTTGATAGGGCAGCATCCTTGCCTAATGGCCCTACAGAGTATAAAAATATCTGAAAAGGAGCAATTGATAGCAATAACTTCTGAATGTATGATAATTAATAAAGTTTTAACTTACTTCTTTCACTCTAAGACAACTTCTGCTGAAACTCAAACTGTGTTTATTAGTTTAGTGGTGCTTCTCAGATTTCTAACACGTGACTGCTTCACCTTAGTCTGTTTTCTCATTTTCCTTAATTTTTTATATTATTTTAGTCTGATCTCCCTCTAAAAGGGAAAGAAATTAGTAAAGTTATTTTTTACTTATTTTTGGAATAATCTATACTTTAAATCACGTAAATTAGCTCTTTTAGTGATAAATAGGAGAGTCAAAGAAAAAAAAAAACATTATTTTAAAGACCTTTTATCAGTCACTTTATTAATCCGGCGGAAATTTAGTAAAAGCATCATTTTGTTAGAAATTAAAAATATAAACATTGTTATTCCAAGCTTTTTGAGAGGCACTCTCTGAAGTTGGCCCTGAAATATTTAGCACTCTTTTCCCTTAAAGATCATTGGATAAGCTGTAACACATCACTGTGTTACAGTTATAACTTCAACTAGTCAGTGAAAAGAAAACATTTGAATTTACTTAATTTTTTTTATTCTTGTAAACAGTTAATATATTGCTGAAACAATTTTCCTTTTATATTTCTCTAGAAGTGTCCAATAAACAATACATTCAACTCAAAAGTTCTATTATTTCTTATCTCAGTTTGTCATCAGTTGAGAAACACTACATAAAAAACTTCACAGAATATCTAAAGCTCTAATTTTTATTTGTATTTTTTTCAGAGTAAACAGTGAGTCAAGTTAATTTCCTAGAGATGAACACTGACTGCAAATCTTTGCAATAAATGTGATGATTTACAAGATAAGCGCTTCCTTTTTGTGTCTTCCTCACAATGAGACGGAGGCTCTGCAATATAAGTCATGCGGCTTTGCCCACACACATTTCAGATATGACTGCTGAAAAGCTTGCTCTGTAAGCACTCGAGCTAAGAGACAGTAACATCAATAAAAGTCTTCAAACACAACGTACCAGCAGCGGAGACAGCTCAGGCTATAAAAAGCAAACACAGCTAAAATTAGAATGAGTCATATGTTCCTCTGCTGTCTTGTTTGAAGTGATAAAGCTCAGTTTTACTCCGTGTGGTGTAATATCATTACTGAGAGCTTAGCCTCTGAGAAAAAGATATGAAGAAACATCTGAACAAACAGTTTGTGTATATTTGCTATTTTCATCACAGATCCTGGTGCCATCATGCATTTTGATTACTGAAGTGTATAGCAAATATAATAAGTTGTGATCAGCAGTTTTATTGATATTAAATATACAATAAGGGCTTTAAACATCGTGCCGATTCAAGCAGTGGCTTATTAAAGCTAAACATTCATATCTGCTTTATGCAGGCTGTAATTAGATCTAGATATCCTGCTATAATCAGAAGAAGCGCTTATTAAGAGATGATTGAAGCTGAATGAGTAATCACCACTTTACAATGATTACTTTGATTCCTTTCAATATAAGAGTCATGGAAATGTTATGATTAGCTGCTTCAGTCTTAATTAGATGGTTAAGTGTCCAAGAGACACATGACCTGTTTTTAAATATTGTAACGTTCAACAATAAGAATATATGTTTTTATACTAAATCAGATTAATCATACTTGAAATAATTTTAATGCAATTTTTACTTAAGAATAGTGGTTAAAGATGCTGTTTCCTCAGTGTGCATACTCTTCTGATAACCACTGGGGTGCAGTGCTTACTTAGTGCAAGAAACGGGGTTGCTTTTAAAGATGGCTTCTTTTCCACAGTTCTGCATACTTTCTTTTTTAAACCTTTCAAAAATTCAAGTTAAAAGCCTTTTCTTTTAGCCAAGCAACCCATCAAATGACGTCAAAGAGCGAAGGGGACCGAAGAGGTCTGAATCACCCACTAAAGATTCAACACATGGCCCTCATGATGTTTGCGCAGAGGAAAGGCACATCTGAATTCTAATGAACAGAGTAGACACAGGAAAAAACTAAGTTTTAATTGGGAGTTTAGTCTTAAAGAAGTTCATTCTTCTGCCAAAGAACCACTTCAGGAAAATAGACTTATTTGCAATTGTTCTGAAATCTTCTCAAATTGTTATACGGTATTTTAAAAGTTATATTGCAACTCAGAACATATCTTAGATCATCCTTCTCACTCAAATCGTATAGATTAATTAGATTGTTTAGTTACCGGGTTGAGAGTTGGCTTTTGAACCTACAGTATTTCACACATTTTCATGGGGGCTAAATGGTTGTTGGTGCGTTGTTCTGACAAGCTTAATATCAACCTACATTGGCCATTATATTTAAAAATCAATTCTAATGACTTATTATGCCCTGGTTAAACCGAATTAGTGAGGTGCAGTGAGGTATGTACCGGTAATGGTTAGGTTTAGTGTTATTGTCAGGGTTAGGGCATAGAATGAGCTGAGAATGACTGAAAATCAATGGCAGTCATTGGGAGTCAACACATGGTTCTCACCATATATAGCAAGATGAGAGTGAGTGAGCCTGTATGTATAATTATGCTTGTGAGTAGAATAGAGCAAATGGATCAATAAATGAAATGTTATGTAACTAGTTATTAAGATTGATTGCAGAAGTATGTTGTTCAGTTATTCCATTAAGAGAAAAAAAGAAGCAACAAATATAAACAATTTAAAGCTTAAAATCTATGTGATATTTATGTCCATGATCAGTATACATACCATTCACATTAGCTGCTTAAACACCTAAAACCTGACAACTTACTTTAGTTTACTTACAGTAATAATCACATTCTTGTGTTACATGTTTCTTATTAAACTGTTATCTTCAAAATGTGAACAATAGGACTCCTAATATGTTATAAAATTGCATATTAATGGTATCCGACGTAATCTCTATGATGATGAGTCAGAACTGCTTTAAATATACATTTCTGTGTAGAATCCTTTACTTTTCAAAGTTTATGAGAGCACATAGCTGTGACTGAAATTGTTTCTCAAATTTAAATTCTCTCTCCTATAACCCCCACCCCAAAAATTAATTCTCACCTTAATACTAAACCTAACACCAAACCGTGACAGTATTGCTACCCATAGGTACAAAAATTTTCCTTAGAATAAAATAGAAAATCCCTTTATTGTCCCAAAATGGGGAAATGGTGATAAGTGGCCTCTCTGTGTGCATGATTGTGTGTCTCCATACTGTCCTGTGATAGACTGGCAACCTCTCCATGAGATAGGCAGCGACGCCACCCCCCTCCTCCCCCGTGATCCGGACAAAGATTAAGCGGTAGAAGAAGGATGGATGGATATATATGTTTGACAAAAGACACAATTATGTGTCTGTGCCCAGTCAAGTGACCTGTGTTCTGTTTGTTTTTCTGATGGACTGGCCAACAGGTTGTACACTACCTCTCACCTAATAACCACATGAGATTATTCTCCTCAAACCCTGTATGAATAGTTGGGTATGAATAATAGATTGATGCACAGTGCTTTCTGATGCATCATGAATATTTCCGTGAATTAAAAGATATGAGACATAAGTTATATATCAAAGTCACCTCATGACTTAAGTTATTGGTTTACTGTAGTATCCGAGCATTTCTACAAAATCCATTACCCCAGGTGTAACCACATAGCAAATAGTGACTCAATAACCAAAATAGTTGGTCTTGTCCATCGTAAGTAATGATTTTAACACACCTTTTTATTTTTTAGTACAATGTCTGTAGTGGCTCTAAAACCACAATTTTGGGAGTCAATGGTTTCAGAAAACATCCTGCTATTAAATCCTACTAATATTGTTCAGCATTCAACAGCTCCCAACAAATGTGATACAATTAATTCTTAATATAATAGTGGCATAAGCTAATATTGTTGTTCTTGTATTAAATGCAAAAAATCTCTGAAATACCCTAATGTGTCATAACCAAGGGGAGGCAAGCAGGCTTTATAGATTGAATAAAAAATAAGGAACTCATAAAAACATATGAAGAAGAAATGCTAGTGCTACTAATGAAAATAGTAAATTTATAATATTATGTCCCGCACAAAAAATACTCAATAATCCTTAATTAGATCATCTGTCTCAGCTGCAAGTCAGTTTTGCTGGTGCCACAAAACGGAAAAAAATTTTTCTGTATATGCAGCTACATCATGATAACTTGAATGATTTATAAGCAGAATGATTGTTATATCAACAAGCTTTGTGAGCTTCTGAACAATTTGCTTCAGTATAACGTTTTGTGAAACTTAACAGCTCAAATGTACACATGCAAAAAATATAACTAAAAACAGGGTGATGATAAAATAACTTTTACCCCATACATAGGGGTATTTGTTGCTTTTTCTACTCATTTCAGCACTCCAAGCTCTGAACAGCTCCCGTCCTGCCTACAGCAGCCTCCAAGGCCCATCACATGATCTTATTTATAGCGTGACGTCAGCTGTTGACATTAATTCACAGTTTAATCAATGATGATGTTTGAATTGAAGAGCCGTTTTTTTCTCCTTTCTTTTCTTTTTTTTATGAGCTGGCTCTGGATCTTTCATTGACGCGGAAGACGTCTCATATGGGACAGAGGTAAGGAGGGGTGAGGGCGGCAGGGCTGATGACGCAGCCACCCACCCCCACACCCCACCTCCAACTCTAACTCCCACCCCTTTCCCCTACAAGATAAGTGTCAAAAGACGAGCCTTGCGAATCCATGGATTAAAAAACCAAAAGGGGACTTAACTTCACACAACTCTGAAAAGTTTTCCCAGAGATAGCAGCTGCTGCTGTGGTGATTTTCGTCCCGTTCATGAGCTGCTAAAAATAAAAGTCCCTGAGAGCTGAGCTGAGGGCGCACGGTCTGCAGCACAATCCCAACAAGGACGCAAAGGAAAGCCTTCACACAGAAAGATAGAGAGAGGTAACGGAGAGTGAGAGAGACTGAGATAGAGATCCTATCTCACTCTCCCAGTTGAGGTCCTCGGAAGATCGTGCGCATCGTCTCGAAACTGGTAAGAAAGGTGTTTTTACGCTGCGTAAAAGTTAAAAGATTTTGGTAAAAAAAAAAAAAAGGTCTTCCCTTTTATTTATTCTTTTTATCTTAGAAAGTTATGTGTTATAAATACAATTTTAACTCAAACGCATCAAATTATATTCTTATAGCACTCACCTTTACAAAAAGAAGCCCTGTTCGGTTGATTTTTATATTTGCTTGTTTTTATTTTTTTCCACAGCAGGACAATGTCTAAAGCAACTTTAGCACTGCTCATCTATGGAATCATAATGCATCACAGCATCAACTGCTCACCCGTAGGAATAAGCTTTCCAAGTATAAGGTAAGTGTCTATTTTTGTACTTTTTATAGCTAGAATTGATAAGAATCAATTTACTGTACAAATGGAGGAGATAACCAGAAGCTATGTTTGTGAGTGTTACAGCTTATTACAGGATAATATCACCTGACAGAAAATCTATAGGGCAGAGATGCATTTACCAGGGAGTGGAGGTAATGTAATTGAAGCTGCTGCCGCAAAGCCTCAGGCTGACCTGGCAATTAATCGATCAATCTATCAGGTGGAATAATTAATAGAAATTAAGCTGGAGAAAAATGGATCCCAGTAAACAGATATGATAAATTATTTTCTCTTCTCTTTTCTAAGGTAAACTTAAAAAAAAAAAAAACTTATTTTGTTCAGCTTCTATTTTTTTCCCCTTCTTAAAACACGAAATTTAGACCTGAAAGAGAGGTTTATGATGAGGGCGGCAACTCCTTACCATCCCTGGATTATGATGGAGATCAGTTGGAGGTGAGAAGCCCCTCTTCTGTCGCAGATGACGTCTTCGCCATGTTCTACCCATCAGAAAAAAGGTAATGTTTTAACAAAACTAGTGAAACCTACTCCTCCATTGCTGTATGACACATCTGTATGTCTTTTCTGTATTTCTGTTCATGTACATGTTCCGCGTGAATCTATGTATTGTCAAAATGTTTCCTCCTTTTTTCAGTTCCCCTTAAGATGTACTAAATAGGTTATATATATATTTATATATATATACAGAGAGAGAAAAAGAGAGAGAGAGAGAGATAAAATCCATCCATCCATCCATCCATCCATCCATCCATCCATCCATCCATCCATCCATCCATCCATCCATCCATCCATCCATCCATCCATCCATCCATCCATCCATCCATCCATCCATCCATCCATCCATCCATCTCTCTCTCATTTCTTCTATATTATTAAAAGTACATTTTTTTGTTGTTTTTTTTTTTAATCTATAATATGTAGAATACTAAGAATACTAAATCTAATACTTCTCAAGGTTTCAAGCATTTTTGCCAACTTTTTTTTATTAAAAAATTGTTTTCAATTTTACCAAATGATCAAATCATTGGAGGGATAATTGCTGCCCTGCAGTGTCTTAATATGTGCTGTTGCGTTACGTGTTTGTGGTGATTTTTACTGTTTGGCTATTTATATCATCCCAGAATGGAAAGGCATGCAGACGGCATGTTTAATAAAGCCTACAGAGAAGCGCTGGGTCAGTTATCAGCCAGGAAATACCTTCATTCTCTGATGGCAAAACGTGTAGGGTAAGAATATTTTTTTGTATGTCCCTTTTTTCCTTTCTAATTCTTGTCTTCTGTGGGTCTTTGTTTCTTTGTGCTGGGTCTTTGGATCATAGCTCATGCTCTATGTATGTCTGTGGTGTCATTTTGTTTCCCTCTACATGATGCCACCCCCCACCTCTTCTTACTAAATCAAGTCTTCATGAAATGGCGAGGTAGAGCAGAAAAATGCTTTCATAATCAACTTTGGAAGAGTTTTGTTTCTAGGCGGGCTAGTGCTAAAAAAGGAGGGAAGAATTAAGTTAAACAGTTTTAAATTTATTTCCCAGTGAATAATTTATAGGACTAAATCCCAGAGGCTTTTAATTGGAAGGAGGTGGGTGGATAGTTTGTGGAAAATGCAGATGGAAATCTTTGCTCTCAGTTTGAATTCTTTATGAAAGGTTTTCTCTTAAGAATTTCATTCAACTATGTTTAGTATTCCCTTTTTAGCGTAACTAAAAACCATATGTGGCCATCACATCACCTCTGTGACATGCTCACCGTTGTGTCTCTTACAGTGGGGGAAAAACACTGGATGACAGCTCAGAACCCCTCTCTAAGCGACACTCAGACGGGATCTTCACAGACAGCTACAGCCGCTACAGGAAGCAAATGGCTGTCAAGAAATACCTGGCGGCAGTCCTGGGGAAAAGGTACAGACAGAGAATTAGAAACAAAGGACGACGGATGGCATATTTGTAGCATCTCCCACTAAGCCTCCTGAGTATACAGAAACACCCCCGCCAAAAAAAAAATCTATGTGTTCAGCCCCAGATGAAGTCATTTTGGAGATTTTACCAATCAGTGGATCGCTTTTTGTGTTCCTAAAACATGTATTTATGTATGAAGTAAGCCATTAAATGAATATTTTGATAATATTGTTTCCATTTTGTACTCAGAGCACTTAAAGATTTAAGTATTTCCAATGTGGACCAATTTTTGTTAATTTAAAGAGAGAAAATTGTCTCTTGTTTACCATGAAAATCTGTTCCAACAATTCTGTCTTTTAAACTTTTAGCAAAGACGTAGAAACAAGAGTGAAATAAACAGTTTAAAAGACAATCAATGCATTAAATGCTGCTTTTTGTCCCTGAAACATGACATTAAGAGTTTAGTTGTTTTTATTCACAACAGCCTTGAAGACATAGGTTTTCACCATGTCCTACAAGTGATAGACTTTGATGCCCTCCCGGACGGGGATGAGCTTGACGCTTTTTTGGGAAACTGGCTGAAACAGTTTTCTCCCGAATTTGCGGTGAGTTTCCGGCTCTTCCCGAGGATGGGACTTCTCAAGTCTCTCCTTTTTTATTTCTTTGTTCTTTTCTTTCTTCTCACTTTGTGAAGTTGTTTTAGTTTCTTGAATCCAGCTTTTCTTTAACCTCATCTGTGCTCCTCTCCTAAATTATAAACTAACTTCTATGACAGTCAAGAAGAAAAGCTGTTAAAGATGACTGAGCCAAAGAGATCTGTAAATCTGTCTTAAAGTATAAGCTTGAAGGTTAGATTGTTTTAAGTAGGGTTGTAAGTGGGGTTATTATCCATCATAGTTCACTTATCTATTACCAAAAGACACTGTATCGCATTGAGTTTGTTGAGAAGTGAATAAATCCTTTGAGCAGTTGAAGGGTTTGGCCGCTCAAATTACGTTTTGTTTATTTAAAGCAGAAGGTTGTGCATTTGCTCCTCTGTTCCATATGCAGGTATTTTTCAGTTGGACAAAAACAATTATTTTGAAAGATATAATCTCAAAAAAAAAAATAAAATACTTGAGGGTTTTTTTAAGCCTGACATTTGAATTTAGCAGGACTTATGATATTATAGACCAATTTAAACATATCCACTTTTTACTTGGGAACCAAAAAATGTGAAGGATCTATTTTATGTTATCCTGACTTTGTTTTTATTAAAGTTCAAATGCTTGCAGATGCTCGGAAAATAAATGGAAAGGGTGATGAGTGTTCATGAAAACACTAGCAACAGTTGCTTGGGAAAATCTGTAGCCTAGACCAGCTTTAGTCATTGATAGGATAGTCTCCCTTGGAAATCAAATCTGGTGTTAACAGTTGCTAAGTAAGGCATGTAGCTGCTGACATATCCATAAGTTGGTAAAATACATCAATGCTGAATTTGCATAATTGGCAGGATGCACGTAACTGTAATAGATGGTGTATGGAAAGCCAGCAACCAAATTAGATTAACAAGAAAAACAATTCTCCCTAGGATTCTCTGATTTCTGAATACTTCAATTGCATCTCTTCTCTGTTATCTGACACACACCCAGAATTATTTGGCTTAATCTCTTTAAGGATTGGGCTGCTTTGTGAGATTTGAGCTTAATGGCTGGCAGTAACTATTGCTCACTGAAAAGAATAGGAAAAGTATAATTCATATAGCTTTGACACCACAACAAACCAAAATAAGATTTCTTTTCAGTTACATTTAAAAAAGACTAAGTTGTTAGGTAGACAACACTTGTCATGTTATATAACACCCTCTGGAACATTATAGGCTTTGCTAAATTGCTCATTCAAATCACAGAGACAGTGTAGATGTAAATGTGATCAGGAGCTGACAAAAAGAAACTCAAAATATAGTGGTAAAAATGAAAGAGACCAAGACAGAACCTAAAGAGAACCCGAGAGATGGCCAAAACTTCAAACCCTACAAAACTAATAAAGCATTCCAGGTAATGTAAACAATTCTCACATTTGAGACTAAAAAAGTTCCGGAGTCTTTGGACTAATTAGATTGTTCCCTAAAAGTGTATTTTGTCAGGATAATATGTTCCTCAAAGAAATTGTAATTCTGCTGTATTAAAACCATTCAATCACTTTCAGGGTGCTCTGTCATGTTACAACATTTTTTACTAATTTGATTATCTGAACAGAATTCCCAACACTAAAGCAGGGCTAACCAGGTTTTGTTTAGTTCTAAAAAAAATGGTATCTAAACCAGATGTATTTTTATCATCTATTTCTAATCAACTCCTGCGACTTGGCTTGTATAGCCATAAAAACATTTAAATCTACAAAAAGTGTAATACATAAGCATCTTGTTCTGCTCCTTGAACTCTGCTGAGATGCTAGTCTTCTAATGCCAATCTAAACTTGTTTCATCTATATTTAATATGAGCCCCTGATTGGTCCTTTTAAAAGCTTTTTTTTTCTTTGTGGTTTCCGCTTAATAATTTAAAGAGCAGTTCTTCAAGGTTATAACCACTGAAAAACAAGTGCTTCATTTTCAACATTGTAATTTGAATTGACTAGTGGTTTAGCTGCGTGCTGCCTTGTGTCCAGCCCACTGCTTCATGGCTGCAGCTGAGTCTGCCCTGAAAAAATTAGATGGAGTGAATCTAGACTAACTTGCATTGTCCTTTGTGTGTTCTCTTCACATTCTGAGGCTGACTTTTCCAAAAAAAATTTGTCAGAAATATAACAGCAATGTCCCCTAATTTCAGAATTATTTAGCCTCCTTATCACTACCACTCATGAAAAAGTAAAATGTTGCAAAAATTGCCTGCAGAAAATAATATACAGTGCTCTTGTGAGCTGTGTATTTGGGTCTTACAGCTTTGCATTGCTTACTTCATTTACCATACAAATTAAAAAAAAAAAAAATAGGAAATTTCCACTGTTACCTTGAGCTTGGGTGTGATATAATTCCTAGCTCTCAGCTCCAACTTCAGACGCAAATAGAACAATATATATTTTTCAGCTCTGAAAATGTCGACAATTCCCTTTAGTCAAAATAAGCATAACAGAAGCTATATTGAAATGGCAAATAACTTAAACATGTAAACATTATGCTGAATAAACAATGGATTTATGATAAGAGTTTCAAAAATTAATACACAAATTTATAGTATTAGGGGTTATTTTAATATATGATGTGTTTAAATATGGTCGTCATAATAATTATAAAATTTATTTGAAAACGCTGTTCAAACTGAACACATTGTAATCATTTTACAAATCACAATGAATCATGATAAACAGAAACAACAGAGAACAACAACCTGCACTTACAATGTGTAGATCTTCTGCAACAGATGTGTTTTGAGTTTCAACTTGAGGCGAGAGTGTTAGTATTGAACATTTCTTGAGGAGGAGGGTTTTAGAGCTTGGGAGCATAGCTGGAAAAAGCTTTCCTCCCCATGGTGCTGAAACGATAGGGACGAACAGTAGGGTGAATGGAAGAGGAGGATCTAAGGATGCAGGCGGGAGTAGCGATGTGAATGAGATCAGAGGGGTAGGGGGGACTGAGTGGATAGCCTTGACTGTGTACAGAGGGATTTTGAAATCTATTCTGAATCTAACTGGTAGCCGGTGGAGCTACTGATTGTATGCAGCTTAATTCTGTGCCACTCGAAGCTTACAGAGTGATTTTGGAGGAAGATGAAAGAGAAGAGAGTAGTCAATGCAAAAGGTGACAAGGCTAGGATGGATAAATACTAATGCAGAGTACAAGAAAATGGAGCGATGATGTTCAATATTTGGTAAATGAAAATATGCAGACCGGGTGCTGCTATTGATGTGAGAGGTGAAGGATAGAGTGCTATGGAGAATGGAATCTAAACACTTGACTTAAGGTGAAGAGGAGACCATGGACTCAACAACTGGGAGAGAGAAAGGGTCAAAAATATGGAACATATAGATTTGTGCTCTATCTTTACTGATGGAAAATTACAAACTGAACTCTTGATACTGAGAACACTGACAGCTTCTTTAGATTTCACAGAAAAAGCATTGCATCATTGTCCTAAAAGAATAAAATACTGTAACTTCTACTTTGTGGATCCCGATACATATCCACTATTTACACAGACAGCCCATCAAAACTGACACAAACATGAAAAGACCTGATGGTTCACAAAATCTGCTTAATTTTCCTTGTCCTTATGAATTGGTGTTACATACATGTAAGATATCATGTAAATCATGTAAAAGCTATGAGCAGAGTATGTGCCTTACAGATAATGGACAGTTTAAAAGTAAGAAAAAGTTTAAACAATGAATATCTATAACTATAACTGCCTATAAACAAGCAAACCTAAACATAATCTACTTGAATAGTTGCAGATGCTGATTTCTTGTTAAAATAATTGTAAAGAAAGACCTAAGCTACAGTTAGAAACTAAATGAGAGATCAAAATAGTAACAGCAGGGAAGGCAGCAGAGTAGGACAAAGTAGCTGCTCTTTGGATTCTCTCAGTTTTCCATAAATTCAATGTGATGTAAACTAATTAGAACTTAAGACATGCTCACTGAATTATGTTCATACTATCTTTTTGCATTTGGACATTGCAAAATATGAGATTTGACAGGAGGAGCAGAGTACTTTTGAGGTTTTCCTCACCTATTTTCCCCACTTCAACGGTGTTCATAGAGAGAACCTCTACCTCTGACTCATGTTAAGTGCCAATGTTGTGTATCTATCAACTTCAAGGTAATGTGTTTGGAGATTTTCTCCCATCTTTCTTTCCATTTAATAAGTATCAATTGCATTTCAAAAGCAAACAAGAAGCAGAAAAAACAAAACAAAAAAAAAAATACAAAGAAATGATACTTGTTACATGGTTTTCTCCATCTGTGTGTTCTGTGTAAGGGACATACAAGGTGGTTTGAACTCTAATCTATTGTGCTTCCCTATTTTCTGTCATGTGAACCGCTGTACAAACTTCAAGCAGACTGCATGATTAAAGTAATTACACCAGCTCATTGCATCTGTGCAGACAACTAGATGGTTTTGCTTGCTTTCTGACTTCTACATACATACATATCTACTACTGCTGGATGATTTTTGTTCTTTTCACCTCACTCACACTGCTACACAAGTTGTGTGTTAACCCTTGTCATGAATGTACTTTGCTCCTGGTAATAATATCTCAAATTGATGCAATCTATTAAAGTTTATTTTGGTTACTTTTTAATGTTAATTTTAAAGAAGAGGTTGTATCTCATAATTTCTGGTTGCACAGAGGGAAAAAAAGCTGTCCTGATAAATCACAATTCGAGGAAGAAAAGCACATAAACTAAGATAAGCAGACAATAAATTTGGTTTTTAAGCAAAGCTAACCAAGTCATTACTTGCTTACAGGTGCATATCAGTAAGTTACAATTTCACAGAGACCACTTTATTCAAGATTAAATGTATATTTCACATAGTAGGAAAAAAGAAAACTTACCCATGAGGGTTGCTCAGAGGATATGCCACTAAAGCACATTGCTCAAAAATGCCTGTCATTTGGAAAGTGCTGTAATCAATATGCAATGACAGTTGAGTGGAAGTAAAAGTGTATTCAAAACTGGTGCACACACAACTGGGGTAATGTAGCACAGAGCTATATACACTCACCGACCACTTTATTAGGTACACCTGTCCAACTGCTCGTTAACACTTAATTTCTAAGCAGCCAATCACATGGCGGCAACTCAGTGCATTTAGGCATGTAGACATGGTCAAGACAATCTCCTGCAGTTCAAACCGAGCATCAGTATGGGGAAGAAAGGTGATTTGAGTGACTTTGAACGTGACATGATTGTTGGTGCCTGAAGGGCTGGTCTTAGTATTTCAGAAACTGCTGATCTACTGGGATTTTCACGCACAACCATCTCTAGGGTTTACAGAGAATGGTCCGAAAAAGAAAAAACATCCAGTGAGCGGCAGTTCTGTGGGCGGAAATGCCTTGTTGATGCCAGAGGTCAGAGGAGAAAGGCCAGACTGGTTTGAGCTGATAGAAGGGCAACAGTGA